CTCCATAAAAGATTATAATAACTACAAAACTTTGTGATTATAGCTTTTTTTTCTCTGCAGTTTGGTGGATGCAGCACTTTGCATGTTAGACTAATGATTCTGGTTGGGAGCCGCCTATATAGTTAATTTGAATATGAAGCACAATATAAGCAATATCCTGGCTACCGCTAGCGATACTTGTCTCCACAATGGCTGGACGTGCTACAGCCTCAGAGAAGTAGAGGAAATCCAATGGTTGTCTGGCTCCTACTCTGCTTACACGTGGCTGGGCTGTTACAGTTTGGCTGGAGGTCATTATACAAACCCAAGCACGGCCCTACTCTCTAAGCACTTAAGAGCCAAGGTTAGATATCTGACTGGATGTGGTTTAGTCATGCTACTCTCTCTAGAGAAAACAGTGCATAAATTAGCACAAACTTCAAATCTCTCTAACATTCCAGCAGAAAGCAAGCCTTTGCACAGACAGAACAGCACGGAGCTACTGCCCTAGGCTGATCTCCTGTGCACCCCCATACCGCCTAGGACTCAGGTCATTAATCCTATATTGAGTTGGGCTGTTCAGATGTTGGGCTTCCTTAGATGTTGGGCTGTCCATCTCATTCAAAGCTCTCACACACAGTGCTGAGGGGTTTTTTCATGTAGAGAAGGTCTGGTTAAGTCCGCTTGTCAAAATGACCCAAGATTACAATGTGAGACTCAGTCTGCATTACAGAGGTGAGAAAAATTGTTCCCTTATTTTGTTCATTTTATCAAGTTACAGTGTCACCTCTACTGCCTGTGTGCATACCAGCATCTAGCACTGGGGCGGCGGTACCACAGTGCAAACATCAAGGAAGACATCTTGAAATTCTCACACAGAGAAATACGTAACAACACAGATTTCCGCTAGGTCCCACTTTCAGCACAGTGAACAGTTGTAGATAGCCGTATTCCCTAGTGGGAAATAAGGGAAAAGAAAAAGCTAAAGTTAAAACCACAGATGAAGCATGTCTCTTAGGCTGATGGCTTGTTACAAGATCTTTGATCTTATCAGTCAGAAAACAATTTGACTTCAGTCTTTTCTTCTGGGTATTATGGCCAGGATCATACCAACACTCTAATCTAAAAGGATCCATTCTAGCGCAAGTATTATTTATGCTTTACTACGTGCTTTACTATTCTGTTTCATGGAGAAATGCAAGGACGGCAACTCATTAATTGAAGGAAAATAAAGTTTTCTTTTTTAACATCATGAACATGGTAGCTCTGCAACCAGGGGTAATGTTCAAAACACCCAGAGATATAATGTGGCAAGGAAACTTTCCATGCGTTCAGTGAGAGATGACAGCACACAGATAAAATACTAATCCCTTGTTATCAGCTCTAGGTACCAGACTAAATGCAATTGTCAGAAAGTCTCAGCAGAAGTTGACGGGACCAAGATAGGGTTCATTTAGGGTCACTGGAAATTCCCACTTCATTTGCATAAGCATTTCAGCCAGTGCTTTAAGAGTCTTGCTTTCCAGCAAAAGTTTAAGCAATTAAACGTAGCCACATATTAACAGCAAGCAATTGTTTCAGGCCCAGATCCTCAGAAGTATATAAACACCAACACCTACTGATGTCCAGGAAAGGCAATCCAGCCTCTTAGCCTAAATGTGCTACTAGATTGGCTCTGAGGCCAATATGTCTGTCCCATCCAAAAGTCTGTGTTCTGGCAGTTAAGATGGTGGTAGAGAATCAACATGAAATGAGGAAAATATTTTGAGTTTTTAACCATAATTTTACTCCCTGTTCTTTCTGACAAAGGATAATGAACTTTTTTATTCTCTCAAGGTACAGTAATACCCTTAGAGAAAATTCATATTGGATTTCATAAGTATTTGGGTATATTCTTTGTTTATTGTCTCACTGTTCAGCCATTAGCAGTGCATCGCTGTGTTGTTATACAAACCAGAAAACAACAACTACAAATAACAATCAGTCTCTGCCTCAGGACACACACAAGCAGAAGAGAACAATCTGAAAATGCTTTAGAGATGCTTGCCAAAACCAGACTTACTGTTTATGGCCAGAACAGATGCCTGCTAATTCAGGTGGGCACTTAAAGTATAAATGCAGATTGCATCTACGCACGCATCTCTGAGTCACCTGCACTGTGGCCACAGCTGTGCCAGCCCTTCCTTAAGCCTGAATGAAAGGTGAAGAAAGGCTGCAGTGTCTGCTTTAACATTTTAGGCTGGTAATTGTAATTATACTGGGATTTTCCCAGTATGTGACAACTGCCGACTCCTCCAACACGCAAACTCACCATTCCTGGACTCGACATGCGATACCTCAGCCTTGGTTGTTGACGATACCCGAACCGTAGATCATTGACTATTTATGTGCATATATTAATTCTTATACCAGGGGTACAAAAAAGGCTAGAGAATTGAACCAGGAGCCAGTTACAAGAGGCAGAACGATCTGGTGGTTGCATCTGGACTTGAAAAGCAGAGAAGCTGTTTTCTTTCTTTTTCTCAGCAACATGCATCCACTGGCACCTGGCAAGCTGACAGAAACTTCCTAGGCTTCATATTCTTCTCGTGTAAAACCTGATTAATCAGTAATGCAAATAATTTAAACTTTCTTTCATCAGTGTTGGCAAAAAGGTAGTGAAAAAGACATTTTAAAGGAACCTTTACCAGTGAGTGTGTATGGGGAGGGATAACCACGTAACCATGAGCAGGGACTGGAGCTGGAGTTCCAGGGAGCTGCTCAGAGCTCTGCCATTGACTGTTTGGAAATGAGAAAACCAGCATCGCACCTCTGCATCCCTCAGCTTCCCCATCCAGAAAATGGGGATAATAGTATCAAAGCTTTACTTTATAAAGCACTTTGACTGAGGGCTGAGAAAGTTACGTTCATATTAGCACCGTGCTTCTACGAACTATCTTTTCAGAAGCATACTATCACCACCCTCTCCCTCTGAACACCCCCTTTCTTTCTGAAGTTATCGTCCTACTGTTTAATGTCGGTAGTGATCCCAGTCAGGAACAGAGAGCTAAAATGAGCAACAAAGACACGGGCCTTCATTTAGAGACATAATCTGTTTAATAAATATGACTGTAAAAGCAATAAACAATAGCAATTATACATTACGCTACATTGTATTTAACGAAAGGGAAAAAGAAGATGAAAAAGTACATCAAAAAAAAGTAATTTTAAAATTAGAAATAGTTCCAACACTATAAGAAAACTTTTTGATTGGCTTACTATAAAAATAAGTTGGCTAATGTTGGACTTCACTGGGGAGTATTATACAGTTGCTGCCAAAACTTTCCCATCTTTCTTAAAGCTGTAGTTGCAAAGACAACGGCAAAGCCATACAATCTGCTGTGTTTCTACCTGTCTTCAGAGAAACTACAGAAAGAGGCAAAGGACTCTGTACTGTGATTATCCTTTAACTACTACAGGTCTAATGTTCTTACACTTGGTATCACTTTTTTTCTTTGCCAGCAAGTAGGTTGATGTGGGCTTGTGCCCAATTTGTGACAGAGAAATTCAAACCCACCACCACCGCCCCCCGCCCCAGGACTCTGGGCAATGCCAACAATGCTGCTTTCTCCTGTTTTTGACTCAGGTTGCTGTGCACATCTATCGAACAAACCCCACTCATGTCGGGAATCAGGGTGCTTCCTAAGTGTGCTACACTGACTATGAACCGGACTCTATTTGCCTTCACCGAACATAGTTAAGTGTACACTGGTTACTGTCTTTCTCTCTTTGCACTTCAAACCAAAATCCTGGTGCTAGGTTTACCTGAGTCAGGTTGGAAATCAGCAGCTGTAATGACCACGGGTTAGGCTTCAGCCAGATATCCAGTGCCTTGGGAGGACTTGTTCGAGGTATGCTAAGCCTACTTTCCTGATGTTCCCTTGCATAGTCTACATGAACACGTCCTGCAGCCTCTTTTCTAGTTGCAGTGTAAGATACAAGCTTATGTTATCGGTAAAAAATCAAATCTTGTGCAAGAGAGGTCCTGTGGTGCTGGGCCTCAAAATGCTTGGCAAAGGTCTCAGGCCTCAGAGTGGCAGGAGTTTGCAGGTCTGCAACCAAGGTGGCCATAGAAAACTGCACATAGACCTTTCCCTGCTCCCTATTCTATGGACAAGGAGTCATTCAAAACATTGTCAGGCCTTAGGGTGACTCCCAAAAGGCAGAGATCTCCTGGGACTTCCCCAGACAAATCCAAACATGAGCACTAAATGCAGCTGAGGGTGTTAGTAGGGCTTTCTCTTAGCCAAAATTGAAGTTGTAAGGCTGGTACAAAGTACAGTGTAAGTTCATGCTGGCAATAACCTCCTACAAGTGCAGTATGGACAGATCTCCCTGCCTGTAACACATGCTAGTTCTGTTCCACTGAAGGTTAGGAGGCAGAAAGTTATCTTTCAACAGTGCCTTGGTGTGAGTAGGCTAAAAAAGCTGTTTAAGAAAGAGCCTGGCCTCGTGGTTGGGATCGCTCGCACTCAGCCTCCTGGCAGCCGTGGGGCACAGGCAGCAGCCGCAGCTAGAGGAATGAAGGGCAGAGTCCAAACAAAGACATAAACCAGACTGACCAAGAATATTTTCAGTGCCTTTAAACTCCAGTGTGATTTTTTTGTGTGTCCTATGAAAGTCTGCTGGGGCGGCTACCCCTCCCGCAGCCCAAAGTGCTAAAAGAAGAGACCCCCATGCATATTCTTGGCCTATATCATTATGAATTTTCTACAAATTAGAGACAGATCAGAAAAAAGAGAGAGTGGAAGGGTGAGGGGAAGGGCCGCAGGAGTGAATAGTGATACCAGTTCCTCTCCCCCCACCCCCCTAAAATTGAACACCTGTACAATGCAGTTCCACTATGGTCTCAGTATAATGTCCACATGCACAGGCTTAAAGCTAAAAACCCTTTGTCATCTGAAGAATTAAAAAGTCCAAATGCAGTGAGCTCTCCTCTTTTTTTAGATATAGATACATATCGGTGTCCTCAGTTCAACCATTTACATAGGTAGGGATTTCTTTTGTGCTCTGGGGCTCAGCAGCTGTGGAAATACTTCCTGTGGCAAAGAAAGAACAAAATAGAAGAGTCAGTAAATAACAAGGGTGTTTAGCCAAGGAAGATGTTTGAAGGTATCACCTTGCTGGCCTTTGGGATTCAACTGTTCCAGACTGATAGTTCTTCCCAGAAATGTTTTCTTGTCATTCAAAACACTGAAGGTGTTGTCCTGTTCTTTGCTAATGAAGATGATTCACCCATGTTGAACAGAAGAGGGAGAGGCCAGAGCAGAGGGGTGGAGGGAAGGAGGGGTTGAGGTCCTCAGAGGAAATGTGTAACTCATTTGCAATGATAAGGTGTTGGAGATTTCATAAATAATCTTAAGCTCTGCATGTACAAAAGAAGAGCCTAAACCACTCATATCCAGAAAACAGGAACTGTGGTTTTTTGCTGCCAGAGTTTGAAGAGAAAATTAAATGATCCAGGGACATTCATTAAGATTCCTCCAAGGATGTATCCCTGAATGTTAGTCAAAGGGGTTGAAAAAACCTGGCTTCTGAACAAGCATACAAAAGAGAAACACCCAATTATAGTCTTGCCTTGTTTTCCCAAAAGAAAGAAAACTCATTAAAAAAGAAATTGCTGATTTCCAGAAACAGATGAGATGGTTGTATAGGAGAGCGAAGAGCCTTTGCACTTTCTATTCTGTTCACACCTAGGTCCAGACCTCTTCATTTTGTCAATGAGCTCTGATTCAGTTTCCTCATTCATCTTACTGACAGGATGGAAAAACACTCTTAGGAAGTTTGCTGGACTGATTCCTTTTGAAACAGAATTGAGTCTATGTATCCCACACATTTACCTTTCGTGCTTGCTAGGGCAGATACAGGTGCAAACCAAGGAGGTATAAAAGGCCAATTTCTGGTTCAACACAGTGTCCAGTAGCACAGCTAAGAAACACACAAAATGCTGGCTATTGTAGAAAGCCAGAAATGCTATCGTTGCACCAAATGAAATCCTACCCCCATAATTGGCTTTTGACTACTCTTACCCTAGAGGCTTCAAGGGTTCAGTTTCCAACATCAGCAAGAGCAGTTTTGAAGGTACCTTGAAAAGAGCTAACAGGTGACTGAC